GGTCTAATTAGCATTTTACGCTTTTATTATTATAGACTAGAGGCCCAGTGCATGAAATTCATGCATGGGACGGTGGGTCCCTCAGCCTGGCCTGCACCCTCTCACAGTCCGGGACCCGTTGGGGGATGTCTAACTGCCTCTCGCAATCTGGGACCGCTAGCTCCTAACCACTCGCCTGCCTACCTGATCACCCCTAACCACTCACTACCTGCCTGCCTGATCATCCCTAACCACCTCTGCCTTGGCCCCGCTGCCGTGGCTTTGTCTGAAAAGACGTCCAGAAGGTCATTTGGCTGTCCGGTCTAATTAGCATATTATGCTTTTATTATTATAGATTAGGACCCCCTACTAGGCATCTCCACGTGTCCTAAACATCTGGTTCCTACCCTTCCCCACAACCTACTGTTCCTGCACTTTCTCCAGCTCAGTAAATAGCAACTCCATCCTTTCAGTTGGTCAGGCCTAAATTTGTGGTCTTGACTCCTCTCTTTCTCCCAGACCCTATGTGCAATCTGTCACAAATCCTGTTAGTCCTACCTTCAAGTTGTATCCAGAATTCAACATCTCGGCACCTCTGCTGCTGTCACCCTGGACCAAACCAAAATCATCTCTCCAAAGTAGTATTTCAGTAGTCTCCTAACTGGTCTTCCTACTTCCTGCTTGCCCCATATAGTCTATTCTCCACATGACCCCTCTCCCTGAGTCCTTCAGTATGCTTGTCCACCAAATGCCTTTAAAAATTGTTACCACTGATTGTTGATGGAATTAAGACAATGAGTGAGACAGAGCCTGACCGACTTCTGGTGGTTAGGGGGTTCTTCCGCACTTGAGGTGTTAAGGGACGTTGTGATTTCATCCTGGGATTGTGTTCACTCTATAGGGCACTTACGTTGATCTCCAAACCCTTGGCTACGACTAACCCCAAAGTCCTACCAGTACTTGTCATTACTACTGAGCTTCTCTCCAAAGTACTTTCCTTGTACCTCTGTGCAAATGTTTATCGTTTGCCCACGTTTGAGCAGAGTTCCTTATCTTTTCCCCCCACCAGACTCTGAGTCCCTAAAAGGCAAGATTTTGGTGCAATCTGGCTTAGCCCTCCTCCTCCTCCTCCAAACACGCACCTGTCCTCCCACCCTCACCCGGGGAACTGGGATCCTTTTACAAGTTGGAGGGAGCGCAGGTAAATGGAGTTGAGCAAACAAGTCATGAGCGGCTGGCGTCTGCCCAGCACTGTGCCTGCCGTGGGGGGTGCAAGGCCCGAGGGTCAGCCACCAAAATCCTACGGCTTAGACAGGACAGAGGGGCCTGGGCAAGCCAGGGTGAGAAGGCTGAGGAGGGGAAGAAGAGGAGGAGGCGGGAGGGGGAGAGGTAAGGGGAGGAAGGAGACCGGAGGGGGAGGGGAGAGGAAAGAA